CTTAGATCAGCCAAGAGGTTGTTTCAGGGTTCAATCTGTGAGTTAGCCATGCCCTGACTTAGATCAGCCCAGAGATTGTTTCAGGGTTTGATCTGTGAGTTAGCCATGCCCTGACTTAGATCAACCAAGAGGTTTTTTCAGGGTTCAATCTGTGAGTTAGCCATGCCCTGACTTAGATCAGCCCAGAGGTTGTTTCAGGGTCCAATGTGTGAGTTAGCCATGCCCTGACTTAGATCAGCCCAGAGGTTGTTTCAGGGTTTAATCTGTGAGTTAGCCATGCCCTGACTTAGATCAGCTCAGAGGTTGTTTCAGGGTCCAATCTGTAATTTAGCCGTGCCCTTGCTGAATTAGCCAACCCTAAGTTAAATCAGCCCAGTGGTTGTTTTGGGGTATCAACAAGATTTGAAGATATTTTTTCCTAAGAGGGGCGACTATGAAAGTTCTAAGTTGTTCAAAATCTTACCGTGAGATATTCCAACGTTGGATTGCAGTTTTGCGTTATTAGACATTTCATCAAAATTACTTAAAGCACGAAATAACTAAAACAAAAACGAAAAAAATGTCTGTTAATAAAAATAATAAAATAAAAATAAATACAAAAGATGGGAAACAAACTATGATATGCTCGCGAATAATGAGAATTTATGTGGTATATAGTCAACGAGGTTTGATTCCCCTTTGCCCTCTCCCCCCCCCCCCCCTAGTAATTTAGATTTAGTCTTACCATTTTTGTGCCTTGTATGGAGAGACTAGTTGATAATTCATCAAACATGACATTATCGGGTATCTGGATGCGTAGATAGAATACAGAGAAGTTTATGAGGAATCTAATGAAAGACGAGGGATCACATGGTGTTTGGATAACTTGATGGGAAACAAGTACATTGGCAGGAGGGCACTCAGTAGCAAACATTAGTGCGGGGGGAAGGTGATAGAAAATAGTTCTTTCTTTATGATGATGCAACAAAAATCCTCCAAACTCACTCATAAATACGATGACCATGATAACCATTCTTATGGGAAGCCATTTCAATGTTAGAGCAAGTAGTACCGTGTACGTCATACGATAACCATTCTTATGGGAAGCCATTTCAATGTTAGGGCAAGTAGTACCGTGTACGTCATACGATAACCATTCTTATGGAAAGCCATTTCAATGTTAGGGCAAGTAGTACCGTGAAAGTCATACGATAACCATTCTTATGGGAAGCCATTTCAATGTTAGGGCAAGTAGTACCGTGTACATCATACGATAACCATTCTTATGGGAAGCCATTTNTCATACGATAACCATTCTTATGGGAAGCCATTTCAATGTTAGGGCAAGTAGTACCGTGTACATCATACGATAACCATTCTTATGGGAAGCCATTTCAATGTTACGGCATGTCGTATCGTGTATGTCATACGATATCCATTCGATATGACAAACCATTTCATATAGGGAATTTTTTTATATTAAAACAATTTTTTTCGAAACGCCCGATTTTTTTGTTATTTTAGTACCTGAAATTTTTCTTGTAAAAATATTTTTCCTCTATCAAACCTATAAACAAACAAACAAACAAACCAAAGGTTTCTTGAGTTGATATCATTTCCAAGACATTGAATCGCAAAACCTTTTCTTAATTCGTTTGAGTGACCACGAAACAATGGCTCCAAGGGGAAGTTGGACTTGTTAACTTGCCCACCAACCAACATTTGTGTTTCAGTTCCCTAAAAAAAAACGAACCAAATTCGATCGCCCGTAAACACCCCAACTCCAAGTCCTAGTTCCGTCAATGCTTAGCATAATATGATTGCACATATAAGAAGCATTCAGGGGAGGGGGAGCCGGGGGATTTTGTGAATTGTAAGTAAGGCCCGGTTCAGACGTCGATCTTTAATTTTCCGTGTCGAATTTAATTGGAATTGAAGTCGACTCAAATTCATTAAAATTCAACGTCCGTTTCAAACGTCGATTTTAATGTTACCTGTCGCAATTGACAAAAACCCAAAAACCMAAAAAACCAAAACCAAAAACCGCTGAAATCTTGAGCCTTTTTTAATTTATGCATTAGATTCSAMTCGACAAAAGATCGACATCTGAATCAACGCCGGTCGGTTTCGCGCGACTCGAGCAGTCGACTTTAATTCTTTGCCGACCTCAATTAAATCTGTCGATCTCAATTGATTTAAACGTCGCTCTTCTCATGCACTAAATGTAAATAATTAGATTCCAATCGACAAAAGATCGACGTTTGAATCAACGCCTTAGAAAAATGTATGACCACTTCACAACCCGACTTTTTTTAACGTGTCCCCATTAAGACAGGATTTTTTATTTTTATTTAGCTAATTATTTTTGGAGTGGCCCACCATTAAATGCCATATTTTTTTACATCCCCCCCCCCCCCTCCCAACCCCTCCAACGCCCGTAAAATAATGGCCGGTTCATTACTGACCTATTCCGTGAAACTTCTACTATAGAAACCCCTGTTTGTTTGGCTCCTTCTAGGATAGCATACGTCATCGGTGCTGCTCCACGCCATTGAGGTAACAGTGATGGATGAATATTTAATGACCCACTACAAAATATAAAAAGAAAATATTTGTCAGTATAGATCAGTCTTGCGCAATCACCACCGGCAGCCATTTTGGATGTCAAGAACAATACAATCGTTCTACATTATTTTTCTTGGAGTTAAGTTATGGGATTCTATTCATTCTGCTATATAACACGGTTGAGCACTGGCATGCTATTATCAAAATTTCTATTTATATCCATATCCATGTCCATGTCCATGTCCATGATCATGTCCATGATCATGTCCATGATCATGTCCATGTCCATGTCCAACTACATCTAAATCTACATCTACATCTACATCTACATCTACATCTACATCTACATTT